TCTTCCAACGAAATGAAAGTAATTACTGCTTGTTTCAAACAAGAACACGTGCTAATTAATTAATGTGTATTAAAAAGGAAATTAATCGTAACTTACTTGAGCAACTTATGTTTATATTAATTATGTCCGCAGTCTTATGTTTTAATAAAAGAGAAGTAGATGAGTTCAATTAAAACCTTTATTCCCACTTTCATTTACTTTTCGTTTATAGCCTTTAAAGAGTTTGTGGGGGTGCATTGGCTGAAAATAAAAAAATATAACACATAAGAATAAAGGTGTCAAATCGAGGTTCTTTATTTATATTTTAAATAATAATTATTCTTATAACTTGAGTCACACATTACTAACCATTTGAATGGAAATTACAAAACTTTTGTTAAATGTGCTAAATAAAAGCAATAGAAATGGAGTGAAAACACAGCAAAAATGTGGGAGGCAACAGCTGCTTATTAATTGAAAACATTAATGATCAGATTAAAAATATGTGCACGGAAGGCAATTATAATTAACAGTAAATAGTAAATAATTTAATTTAAAATTGGGTAAAGTAACTTTAAGGGATATTCCCGATGCAGTGAATATAGTAATTGCGATTATATATTAAGGTTAAGTGCATGGATTTAATGATTCTCTGCATATTCAATTACCACAACCACGTGACCCACGCTTCTTTTACGTGCATGCATGTGGTTCATATCCTCTGCTTTTTTACTTTTACCAGAGTTAATTTTGTACTAATTTTTTAACTGATTAACTTTTTTTTTTTTTAATAATTATTAAAATAAACTTTTTTATATTTTCATTATGTATTTATAATTTTTTTTAAAAAAAATTATATTTAGTTGAATTCAGATTATAAGAATATAAAAAATCCACATTTTTATCAACTACATTGATCCATATAAATAATTTTTTATCAGTCCATAAATTCTTTGAGACACAAAATAAATAAATAAAAAGATATATATTTTTCGTATACTAAAGTTGTTAAATTGTTTCAATTGTGAAAAATATACAAAATCAAAATTTGTATTTTTAGAATTGAAGACGCAGAACCAAATCGAAGTTAAGGTAAAGTTTGGGGCATATATATTTAATATTGGATTTTAATAAAGTGATTTTAAATATGCGAAAGTGTAATACTTACATAAGTGTTTTAAATTTTTAAAAAATATTACGTTTAGTACTGAAGTTATTAAAAAAAAAAAATATTTTCCTATAATCTTTAATGTATACGAAAGTCAATTAAAGCAAAATCTCCCACTATATATATAGTTATAATCATCCCTATATATACAGTGGGAGATCCAGTCATGCTGAAAGGTGGGTTTCTCTCTTGTTTGCTGAGTAGCGAGTTTACTTTTGAGAGCCACAAGTATTTTGTCCGCGTCTATTTATCGTC